GTATGTAACTGCCTTTTATTGTTCATTTTCTTTTGTCATTCTCAGCTGCCTCAAAATTTATTTTCTAGCCATGAAATGCTCTCAACTGCAGTGATGTTCTCATTGATGACTTTGGATGAGGGGTGTAATAAAAAGGAGCCTAGACCAAAAAAACAGCTCCATCATGCTCTCGGACATAGCAGCGCTGATTTTTCATCGCATAACATTGTATCGATTTTTCGCAAATCACTGAGCCACAGTATAGTGTGAGTCAGGAAGCAATGTTTGGTTCCTTCTACCACCTAGCGTATTAGTTTTTTACTGAATGTAATACTGTAATAGCATGTCATGATATGACTCGTATTATCGTTGAAATACTGTCCGCTAGAAATCCAGCGTATCTTGTAGGCTTCCTCGAAATTTGCGAGTAAAGGAAGGACATCTTTCTCTGCTCGGACTTACTTAAAGCCTTTGTTGAGACCAAAAAATATGATTCCAAGTGATTGTAAGAGAACAAATCTCATGTAAAGACAACCGCTGGGATCAACAGTTTACTTCCTTTTTCTGCAGTTCGCGCTCACTTTCTCAGTCCAGTTAGACCCCACTGCGTGAGCGGCTCTACTGACTCATCTAGAACACTGTTCACTTGGTTGGACCTCCTACTTGTTATCAGTACGATGTACTTCTGAGATTTCCAGACCGCGATTTAATTAGCACTCCTTTTTTCATCCGCACTGTGGTGGTTGCGCCTAATTATTTGGTTATGGATGCCAGTTTTACCTTGACTCTGGTCTTTAATTCTGATTTTTCTCGCATCTGGACAAGTACACACAGTGCCAGCTGTAATTTCCGGTGGGACTGTTGTTAAGAACATTGTTTTCAATATGTTCTAGTGAGGAACTGCATTTATGCATTACGATTCGGCAGCAGCCGAAATTATTGTAAGCAAAGCGCCATTAACTCGGCTCCAAGTACCACAGCAGACCAACTGGGTTCTTCTGATCTTCATCATTCATTTTCTGTGAATCCAACTCGTGATTGAATCAGGTTGGACATAGTCGATCATCCCATTGTTGTTTCATCTTTGGCGTATGGTTTATTCTTCGGTCATGGCCCGTGGGCATATGGTGAACACTCTTGACCGCCATCAGTGCGCTTCGTCGGTAATTGTATGACAGGCAATTTGCCGTTCTCTGATAATTATTTGTGAATTGTAAAACGTGGACTGGTAGTCGGTGACTTGATAGCTGTTTCACCCTGAGGGATGATGTGATGTTGGCAAATGGTGCCGCTTACCATGAATACGGTGCGATGGTCGGAATCAGGCTCTTGCTTGCTCCTGCAAGACATTATTGTAGCCTAAGTAGCCCTCAAGCGTTACGATTATGAGTGTTAATGGGATATGGACAAATCTAGAAAGACTGGTCCACAAATGCTTAATTTTCCATTATTTTATGGCGTTTAGCAATTTTCTGGTCGGTTTACCAAGGAACTTCACATACTTGTCAGCGCGCTGCCCTTGAATGATTAACGCAACGCAATCCCCTGTCTGATGGTATCGCAACATTAGTGTGGGGCAGGAACTTGAGAAGGTTTCTTTCGTTGATACTGTCGCGAATTTGAGCTTTTGAAGCCTTCCACGGTCTTGTGAATGGTTTTCATTCCGTACGCCTTCTTCTTCCTAGTTAGTGGATGGTCTGCGCAAATGCACCGCTCACTTGTTGGGTTCCTTCCACACAGTGGATTCGGGTTCGACCTATTTTTCAAGCCTATAGATGCGGCACATGTGGCTGACGTCTGTCGATGTGTTCTGTCAGAGGAAAAAACCATGGGGCCTCGCGTCGGCGTGACATTGTAGTGTTCCCTGGCCAGCTCACGTGGAACAATGCTGGTTTTCGGCCGTCAAACGGCTTCCCCTCTGTGGGGGAAGCCCTTGATGTGATCGATTTAGGGGTGGAACAAGTCATCGTTTCTAACTGGTTGCTGCGCTATCGACGAGGATTCGTCGAAGAACACTTCCTGAAGCGGTTTGTGCGAAGCCTCCTATGTCCAATTAGAAAACAGCTGTTCTGGTAGGCGACATTTCGATCGAGTTCAAATTTATATAAGATAAAAACCGCACTAACGCGACGGAAATCATTTCTACTGCGACTTGCTCACGATGGCGACCGGCGAGATCGGCCCTGATCTTGTGTATGCTATGTACTTAGCGCAGAGCTGCATAATAGTGGCAAATCGACGTCGAAATTGTCGCACCGTCGCGCTTGCGCGGCGTCCCATGACGACGACTAACTCCTCCCTCCGCTCGCGCTGGCCGCTCCAATTCTCGCTACTTCAGCTGGGAACTCTCCTCTGCTCATTGTCGCCTGAATCGTCTACACTTCCTGTGAAGACGTTGCTAACTCGTGGCCGTGACGATGCATTGAACCCGTTCACGGGCTTTGCCTGATCGCCGACGATGCTTTTGACGATTCGCAGGTTCCAACCGTTAAGTGCTGTTATACAGAAGATTAGCTGAATTTACTGGTAAGCTGTTTCCAGCGATGGCTCCTATTTCGTAGATAGCAATGACTTTTCCTTTTTGTTTTATTGTTGTTGTGGAAGACTTGCCGCTTACCGTTATTCAGAAACTGATGTAATAACATATGTGTTGTGGCTTTGTGGCTTGCACAACAATAACACCACAACATATTTGATACTTCTGCTAAATATTGTGCTGAAATCGATAGCCTTCTAGGGTTACGACTAAGTGTGTTTTATGTGGGGTTCGGTCTTTGATCGCGGAAGCAGTTCGCGGGCCGCGAATGTATGCCTCGCATGTGTTTCTTTGTTAGTGAACAAGTGGCGGTGGCGATGACATCACTTCAGCTGGCAGATCAGGTCTGAGCGCTGTCAGCTGTCCTTGAAGTTTTGACCGTGAGGTGACCGAGGTGACCCACAAACTGATAGCTGTGATTTATGAAAGAACAATCGAGCTGTTTCAAATGTGAGATTTCAGCTTCTGATATAAGATAACCCATCTAATGCAGCTCCTTCAGGAGAACGCTTCGCGGCGCAGTAGTTCATAATGCAGTACCAGCAATAGTGATGCGTTTTCTCGCAGGGAAGGAAGCTCTAGGGTGTGTAAGTCTTCTTGCTTGTGCAAGGACTAAGCTGTGGTTCAAAATGGAAATATTTTTCGTATTTCTAAAAGCCTTGAGTGGCTTGCGCCGCTCTGCTCGCTCCCAGGTGTGCTTGGCTAGGACAGAAAGCGACTTTTTCGCTTTTCGCAGCACGGAATTTCCTCGCCCCAAGTCCACCATTAATCAGGGGGGGGGGTGCAAGAAAATCCGGGCGGGGGCATTGGATCATCAAAACCCTGAGTTTACTCGGTCGATGAAGAGCCTTGTGATCAAGAATAGAGATGTAGAGTTTTGGGAACGCTTCTCCCGGCCGGGGCCTGCTGCACTTGGCCGCAGGTGTTGGAAAATCTGCTGTGGCGCGAAGCGAGGCTTATTGATGGAGGATCTTTGAGAAAGTGCTCGAAAACTTATTATTGTGGATAGCGTTCAGCTTTTATGTGGATGCAGCGAAAGATGTAATGTGAAAGAGAGATTGTAAAGCAGCGTGGGAGGCCTAAGGGTTTTCCGAGGAGTAATACATATTTACCAAGGAACCAGAGTGCAGAGCACGGAACAAATGTCGGCTATCAGCTGCACTCAGAAATGTATTTAACTCGTAGTGCTGTCGAGTCAGCTATTGATTCGAGAGTATTCCCGAAAGTTCCGTTTCTCCACTTTTTGTTGCGAAGCGTTTTCTTCGCTTAGAGGCCCACACCACTTCTTCATTTTCTCCTTTTCGCCCCATTCAATCCTCAAACCATCAAATTCGCTTTTTCAAACAAGAGATTGGCTTCTGCCAGTAAAGTGTAGACGGTTTGGTTTGTTATGCGGCGTTCACCTGCCAGTTCTGAAATCGTAGGTAGCGCACGTATTTAACTGTAAGAGCTGTGCTGGTATTTGAAGGTGCGCTCTGACGTGTATCGATCATTGCTTCCGTTCCTAATTCTCAGACTCAAGTCTTGACGACACTTGAATTACATTATTTAATAGTGGTGAAGGGTAGATGGTCAGGTAAAATATTGTCTTGAGATGTTCCTTTGCTCAAGCAGAAGCAACCCCGTTTGGATCACTCCTTACCGTCTTAAGCACATTGAAGTGCCATCGCCTTTGAATTCAAGGAGGCTTGATGTAATTGCTTCAGTAGATGGTGCCACCAAATTCATCTAACTGGTCCACTGGTGGATGATTTTTAAGACAAGCAGCTCTACTATGCAAACTCTTTCCGACCCCTACTTTAGACAACGTGTCAGTGGTCCACGACCAGTCAAGAGCTCGTAGAGTCTGAAGCTTGCACCATGTTCTGTATCCGATTTCTCTGATGTTACCGTATAAAAGGCACGAAGTTGAATAGAAGATTCGAATGATCTCTTAAATCTTCTGGGAGCATCGTGCTTAAGTTCAGCCAATCTGAGTAACTCTGTTTCAAATGTGGAATTGTGTGTTTGGGGGAGGGTCCTTTTTTCCTGCTTTCAAGCGGTCCTCTTCTGGTTATGGAAGCCCATTCCTGATTTTTATCAGGTTTAGCAAAAATTATCCGCCTGATAAAATTGGCAGATTATTTTTACTCAACCTTATAATTGCAGGCTAAACAGCACACTTGGTATCCACAAGTCTTTTTTTTGTTTTCCAATCAGGGCTGCTACAAGATGGGTGTGTTTGTATGTATGTGGTGAAACACTTCAATAAAAAACCTGTATATGTCTGTAGGATAAAATATGTTGGAAAAGGTTCCAAGGCGATCGTCACCTGTACATTCAGTGAACAGGGAGCGGCTTCATTTTAACGTTGTAACACGGAGTAAAAACAAATGCTGCTCAACACCAGCGGAACTCATTGTAGCTCCAGCTGCTTTGTCTATCGTCCGCGTTACCGTCTGCGGTTGCGGGAAAGTTTAATTTGAAATGTGATTTTCCAGGAACCATGCCGTGCCGTCCGATAGTGCTATCAGGGCCGTCAGGAGGAGGTAAAAGCACGATTCTTACTCGAGCAATGAAAGAGTACCCCAACTGCTTTGCATTTAGTGTGTCACGTGAGTTATCAGTGCCACTGTATTCGTATTTACTACAGTTTTTGCATTTCTGTTTTTGGAAGTTGTTTATTGGCGCGTGCAGGCCAGTGATAAGGGATTGCATGCTGTAACGTCCCAAAGGAACGCCTACTTTCATTTTTCTCCTTCCTTTCAACAATATTGATTTGACAATGTATGGTAGCGAACGATTGAATTGACAGTCTGTCCAGGCAAGATATTAGTAATACCATTTTCCATAATCACTATTAAGTGGTAGTGAATGTCACAGTCCTTGCGGTTGCTTTGGGACCTCCGTTGGATGAGAAGGTAAGTTGGGGTAGAATGATTCATAACAATATATCTTGAATCCGCCTTCAAACCCGGTAATCAGTGGCCTTTTTCCGTAGCTTTGCCGTGATTATGTACATGAACTTCGAGGAAATACGCACGTATTGTTTAATAGATGAGATCCGGTTCAGTCGTTTGTTCTTTGGTGAATAGCGGCTCATTAGTGGAACAGCGGGGATTTGCATAACAATAACTAGCTTTCTCTCACTTTTTTCAATTGATAGTTTAGCTCTTGTTTTTTTTTGTTGGTAATGAGAAGAAGTACAGTTGAAGAGATATTGTACTAATCCGATGATTTCAGATACTACCCGAAAGCCGAGGGAAGGCGAAGAGCATGGCGTTCATTACTGGTTCACTGATCAAGGTGAAATGCAGCGCATGATCGCCAATGGTGAATTCCTTGAACATGCGACGTTTGGAGGAAATACTTACGGCACGAGGTAATTGGCGAGTATCTTTTTTTTTATTTTCGTAGTACTCAGGCAGGTGGTGTTTGATGGTTTTGGGCTGCTGGAGGTGTGGGCTTACATTGCCCTTCTCACACGCCTCTTTCCCCCCCCCCTTCCTATTGATAATTGCAGTTGCACCTGAAGTTGCTCACCCTTGGTGACTCTAATGCTAGACCCGCAGAGAGCGTGCCGTTTTGCTTTCAGTTGCGCTTGTTTAGCTTGAAACTTTTCTTTTTTGTATGGATTACTGCTTTTGCTTACTAATGAACCCCCTTGGGCTTACTGCCACTTTCAAACACAGTGTATGAACCTAACCATTCTAGGACAGTTGAAAAGCAATGATTCACACAAAAAGGAAAAGATTCTCGCCAAAAAACACGTGCAAAGCAATACGGCACGTGGAACATCTGAACAACAAAAATAGAATGTAATGAAACCCTCGCAAGACGATGACTGCGCTCCAAGTACGCATTGTGCGTCAGAGCGCTTGTTCACGTTTTTCACTCTCTCCGTACAATCCGCGCGGACCGCAAACTATGAAAGCAGCCTTACTTTTCCCATTCGATTCGTTAAATCTCAGCGCATAGTTTGGACCTATGTAGACTAGCTGAGCCTCGCCAGAGATACTGCTAGCAACTGCTATCGTCTACTGTGTGATGTCGTTTTGAACCCATCGTTTCCTTTCCTACATATGTACTTTAGTACTTCTGTGGAATTATTTACGGGCTGTATATCCGAAACTCTTAC